ATACGTTCAAAAAAACCTCATTGTACTTAAGGGATCATGGGACGTAGTAACTACGCAGGCTTATCCTTAGGGTACGTAATTTTCTGAAGCAAGGTAACTATACTGATGATTACCTATACACCTATAAGCCCTGTTAAAGTACTTATCACTTGACATACTAAGTCCCATGGCCCTCCAAGCATTACCAGTCTATCGTAGCACGTTCCACCTTCTAAAGATTAGCTTTTGGGCTTATAACGAGAGTCGCAAGGAAACCCAACAAATCAAGGTCCGACGGTCTCAAACTCCGTAGTGGAACAGACTCTAATGGGGTCATCGGACAGCTGCGCCAGCAAGCGTCCCGATGAGAGCCAAGGGCATGGTCCTGGCCTTAGCTTAACAGGAACCAATCGTTTGGCAAAAGTCCTGTGAATCAAGCTTTAAGGGTCTGAAAGCTAGGGGTTTAGGGTTTAGCCTACGGGGTTCAGGGTTTAAGTTCAAGGTTTAGGGGTTTAGGGTGTAGGGCAGTGCTTAACGCCACGAGCTGTGAGATCAGACTCATATACCGCCCAACCCCCGCGGAGACTTCGGAACCATCACAGCCCAAGCTTGCAGAAACGTCTCTGTGGGCCAGGGGCAAGCTAATCTACTGTTGATGGACCAAATTCTGCATGACCCAAATATAGTATAGTACCATAAACCCCATAGTTTAGGTATATAGGGTCATGCAGGATTTTGTCCATCAGCCGTATGAAACCCAAACCCTGATACTAGCCGCGCCAGCCACCCAGCAAGGCATTCAAGGATCCCTCAAGAAGGAGCCACGAAGCCACGAAAGAAAAGGGCCATAAGACTCTCTGGCAGATAGACTACCTAGGGCAAAATAAGCAGAGCTTCAAGCGGTTTGTACTGGCGCGCAGAACTGTCGGTTTTGGATGGTTTGACTTAAGTTTAAGGGGTTGCTGGCATCCAGGTTCAGGTGCTTTGGGTTTGGGGTTTCGGATCTACAGCCTTTTTGGAAGGGTTCCTAGACCAATTCCCCTGTGTGAAGCCGCCGCGCTGCGTTCACCTGGCTGTTGCAACCATGGGCCACTTCTGCAAACCTTTCGATCCCGAAGCCTGCGGCCGAAAAAGGCATATGGGAGTTTCCGAAAATAGGGGACCCTAATATAGTACCCTAAATAGTAGGATCCTTATTATAAGGACCCCAAAATAAGGTACCCCTAATTTTTGGAAACTCCCATATAATTCAGAACAGCATTGCCTCTGGAGCTCAGGGCGGGGCTGGGTTGCGGGCCTGCGATGCCAGGCAGCAGACCTTCTGTGATCCGCATGGCTGTTGATCTTCTTGAGCTACTCAGGGTTTCGTTACCACCAGTCAGCTATGTCTATATCAATATCTATACTTTGTCATCTGCATGCTGTCTACATCTGGTCTATATCTGTGATATCTCTATATCTGTATCCAGTTTCTATATATATACACACCTACCGTACATATCTGTCTATATATACAAACTGTATATCTTTAGAACTGAATATCTATACATCTGTATACCCGTATATCTATATCTATATATGTACAGGTGTCTATCTCTCTATCTATATTTGTCTCCATGTGTTTACATATGTATTTCTCTGACTCTCTCTCTCTCTCTCTCTCTCTCTTTATATATATATATATATACACATGTATGTTTGTGTATGTAGCCGCATGTGCGTCTGTGTATGTGTATCTGTGATACATATATATATATATACATATACATATATATCTATATACATATGTATAAGTAGATACATACATTGCACATACAATTTTAACTATTTTTTGGAGGCCCCACAAACCCATCCTACGGATGAGAGACTCCGATGTTCACAGTACAGCAAGTACGGGCTCCTTTCTCGAAACAGAGCCACATGCTCTTGGACTCTGCAAGAAGAATCCCCAGAGCCAGAGCCACCCCCAAATCGTGAACATCTTGGGTTTTTGTTTCAGGGCTTCCGGGCTGGGGGTCTAGGGTTATGAGTTTCGGATTTTAGGCCGTTAGGGCTCGTGTCTGGAGAGCAGCATCTCCGGTTCAGCTTACTAATGCTCTGCAATCAGACCAAACGTTCTGATGTTTGTATAGTTACAAGATGATGGAGCCTATGCTTAAGCTGGGCAGAAGGCGTGCCATAGTCACCCTCAGAACAACAGCCGAGACGTGGCAAAGAAACTCTCTTGTTGTAAGCAGGCATTTCCACTGTATGGGCCTCATCAAAGCCAATGAAGCCGAAGAAGAGGAGCGTGGTGGCCTTGATGATTCCGGACCTGGAAAATCTCGAAACAATATCCGAGGTGAACTTGGGATTTTGACGTTCAAGGGCTTTGGGCTGAAGCTGGAACCTCGCGAAGAAGAGCTGGCACGGCCCTGTGGGCATTGGTAGGCTTCTAACTCAGAGTTGGCAAGCACAGTTGCCCAAATCTGAAAGTCTGATAACTGCCCAAACTCCATCAGCAGACCATTCCCACAGTTGGCTGCCCTCTAAATCGCCACGGACCGCCATAAATAGTTCGACTTCTGTCAACTTTGACCCTCGACCCAGGCGCTGGATCACCCCTGAGGGTTTAGGATGGTCTAGGGCCGAGGGCAAAGCTTTGAACCTAACACCAGAAGCATGTAAACACATGCTATGAGGCTCCTTCAAGTCAACGTAGGTCCTCATTATTAGGGTAGTGTTTCGGGGTGTACTACTACGGTACCCTTCTAACATAACATAGGCTCTTGGAAAAAGTAGTACGAGTTGTTCATGCTTCTATAATAACTTCAGTATCGGGCCCACTGCCCCTCGCAGTACAGGCAGGGCGCATGCTCTCAGGTTGCAGCATTCTGGTCCCTTCAGGGGGTTTGTCTGCAACAACGCAGAAGGCCAAGGACTCGACATACAAGTGTGAGAAGCCTGAACGAAAACTACATCTGTCGGACCAAACTGTCTCATTTCAGAAACGAGGAAGCAGACGTGCAATCGAAATACTGCGTTCCCTTGACTGAAACCGCATCCTACACCCTACGCCCTAAACCTAAACCCTAAACCCTAAACCCTAAACCCAAAATCCTAAATCCTAAACCCTACGCCCTGTTCCGAGTCTGGGTATCTGAGTTGGCGCAAAGAGTTGGGCACTCTGCCATGAACCCCTTTATAATTAGAATAGGGTTCCTTTAAGGCTTCCTTTAACAGGGTTACTATAAAGGGTATTGTAAAGAGTTTAATATAGGGGCCTCAATAATTAGAATAGGGTTAAAGGCTATTATAAGGAATTCAATATAGAGGCCTTAATAATTTGAATAGGGTTTTGAGGGCCCACTATACTATATTTTTAATAAGGCCCCCCCCAAAAAAAAAAATAATATTGGCATATCTTGATAATTATTTAGGCCCCTATATTACATGCCTCAATTCCGAATCGTGAGCCGAGAGAAGCTGGGCCATGGACAAGCCCTTTGGCATGAAGGCATCGCTGGATTCCACGATGTCTATCCTCCGTCGGAGCTTTGGTGGCATCGCTGAAGCAGAGTTCTTCGATTTTCTGCAAAATGCCCCGAATCTCCAGCCACGATGTATGCCTTGTGTCACCGGTATGCATGTGTGACACAAGGGTGCGGAAACCCCGGTTCGGAGACCAGAACTGACTGCTGCATCTACTGCACCAGTAAACACGCCCAACTGAAGGCTACCATTCGGTTTAAGCCCGTCAGGGGGAGAGGGCAACCAGAAGCCAAGATACTGAGGAGACACGAAGCCCATTGTCACCATGTAGGCCACCTGAGGCATGTTTACGACTGCGAGCCGTTGAGAATCCTATACTGTCGGGCAATTGCTGCACAAGGTGCCTAGGTGACGGCATGCTGTCGAGCTTTGCAGAATGCAACCAGAAATATGCATGACAATGTTTCAACATGGAGCTTGCATTTAGTCAGCTGGTGGCCGCCAGGCAACCAGCAATATCTTCAGAATGGTCATCACCTCAGCATTGCCAGTTACTGCAGTTGCCGTTCAGCGATTCTTGGTATCTATACTATCACTATTCTCAATGTTTGTGCTGGTTTTTGATGATTCTATTCCCGGGCAGGGAGGGGATGTGGATTGACAACAGCTTGTCGAACTGAAGCCTGCGCAGCAGGCTCGGCCGATCGCGGGTACTCTGCATGCATTGTCCAAGATTTTCGGGGATGTACGATAAATCTGGAAGGTAGGAGACTCGCAACCAATGCCTCAAGCGTGGATACTGTTCAAACCCGGTCCCAAGCGGTCACGATTCAGGAAATTCGTCTTGTCTGCAAAGCACATATTCTCTGTTTGCCAGTCGCCGCCCCTTCGGGTCCTCAACTATGCAAATCCCCGCACCTCGAAGTTCTGCGTAGCCCTGCAATTGTATCCCTTTACCCGCAACACCCGAGACCGGCACACCCCGAACTCTAAGCCTAAACAATCGCTCAGACCTCTGTCATCAGGTCGCATTGATGACCGGCTTGCTCAAGGAGAGTCCACCCATGAGCAGCAGTGTACAGCCCCTGACTGAAGCTTCAGGGAACTTGAAACTGAATTCTTAGAGATACCCTACGCCCCATAGGGTGCGAGTAACCTGATGCTGCTAGTCCTTACGGAGCGGAAGGTGTTAGGACTGTTAGGGTTTTGGGCGAGGGCCAGGGTCCAACTTTCGGGTAATTCCGGCGTTTAATTTAAAGGTTACATGAACGGAAAACAGGCGGTCCTAAACCCTAAACCTCCCTTCCGTGGGGGCTCTGTTTGGGCTCCGTCACTGCCGAACATACAGGCCAACGGGATCTCACGTCTACTGTAGGTCCTGTAGGTGCCTCAAGACTTAGAATCTGTAAGCCTCCGGAAGAGCACTGGGCTACTTACGCCTGTTGGTGTGTCTATGCCAGCCGTTCCAAAAGCCAGTAGGTTGAACCGAACTCGAAAGTTCTTGGCTGTGAGGTTCGGGGTTTGAGGCTTCATTGCTGTAGAAAGGGAGACCAGAGGCTTCCACTGAGGAAAAGCATGGAAAAGGTAACCCTAACCCTCCAGGTACCTACTATGTAGGGCCTTAGGGGCTCTAGTACCCTATATAGTAGGTACCTGGGGGGTTAGGGTAAAGTTTAGAGTTTAGGGTTTAGGAAACGATGCACATTGCAGACTTGTGGTTGCGAGTGAGTCTTGCGACGCAGCACATCGCGATTCGGCTTTCAACGGGGCTGAGCCTGCTTAAACCAAGCGGCGCAGTCATCAATCCCGCAGCAATGTCAATGTAGTGATCATCCGTCCTGCCAGATGAATGATTTACAAGCTTCGGTCTTGGACAACGCGATGCCAGTGCCATCACAAACACACCCAAGGAACCAACGCCTGTTCACGCCTGATCGAAAGCAACCTGATTTTTCGCGTGACAAGCGAGCAAAGAAGCATTGAGGGGCATCGGATGTCGTGTGTTTTCTCGACGTGTCCGTGGACTCTCACGACAGGACCGCTAGTGTATGGAACGAGAGAAGTCAGTAGTGAGCTGTTTATACATCTGCTCGTCAAAGATAGCCGCTGAGCAGTCGGTGCACTCAGTTCAGATCCGGAGAGCATCAGACTACCGCACCCAAAACAGCCGAAGGCCGAAGGAAATCGTGTCACAACTTTGACATGCCAGTCCGATTCATGTTGCTCCGGTCGGTGGTCCCCTCAGGCCAGGTGCCCTCGCCCCAGAAGATGTAAAATGCCTTGCGGTAGCCAGGACCTGGACCAAAACATGCCAACTCGACCCTGTGTCGCAAATTGTGTTCTGACGCTGCTTAAAATTGCACGAGCACGGGTTGTAAACCGTAGATGTATTTGTCTGGTTCTTTGTGTGCTCATTCAACATTCAAGGTGTGCAGGGGGTGTTTGTGGCTGCATCCAGAGACTTGCAATTCTACATTGCTGGGCTTAGGTATTGGACTTGTACTAAAGGTTTTCCTTCCTTCCGAGCTGTCCGACGAAACTAACAACGGACGTGCGCTTGAGAAGACCTACAAAAGGACAAGCAAAAGGAACTCTACTGTGTGCCACTTCTATAGTATAGTAACCGTTACAGTAGCCCTTGAAAACACGAAAACCATCATACGTTACCGAAATCTAGCGCGAACTGCCAACTGGAGCTGGTGCTTCAGGCACAACCATGATAGGGGTTTCTCCAGGAACCCTCTCGGTCTCGGGACATCGCCGGTGGAGGAGCGTGAGCTTCCGGGGTGGCAGAACTTGTCTGATCAAGATCGGACACGTAGCAGCTCCTATCCGACAACTTGAAAGCTGTCCCAATGCTTGCAACGCGCCGAGAACAGCAGCTGCAGAAACCCTCTCGGCCCTAGCTCGAAACAACCACATCAGCAACATCATGTCACGTCGGCAGTAGTTCCAACACAGTGAGCACCCGTAGACCCCATGAAAACCAATAACTTTTACATGTCATATATGTATGTATGTATTTATGTATGTATGTATGTATGCATGTATGTATGTATGTAAGTGTGTATGTATGTATGTATGTATTAATGTACGTATGCACGTATGTCTGTATGTGTTGTATGTATGCATGCATGCATGCATGCATGGATGGATGGATGGATTGATTGATTGATGGAGGGATGGATGGATGTTTGCCTGTATGTATGTATGTATGTATGTATGTATGTACGTATGTACATATGTACGTATGTCTGTACGTGTGTATGTATGTATGTAAGTATGTATGTATTGATGTAGAAGTATATATATATATATAATATTTCGGACGCATCAAAGCAGGATCGAGCCTATCACGTGGGCCATCTTCTCTGACCAGTTCCGGGCTACACCGGCCCCGGAGATCCCATACCTCGACCGCAAGAAGGGTTGAACATAGGGCCTGTAATTGTGGGCTTAGGCTTAGGGCTTAGGTTTTTTGTCACCTCTTTTCCACCTGCCTGGTTAAATTAGGTCGAATGCCACGTTTGGCGGAGGCAGTTGCTTGCTGCAGGCGGCCTACTACCAATAATCACCCGTACCAAACCTATCCAAAACTGAGATCGAACCCTGGCCTCGCAGAGCAACACCCATCGGAGCAAGCTCAACAAAAGGCAATCATGCAATGCTTCATGCACCGACTGTACTCCCACCTAGACATCTCAAAACACTACAAATAGCACTACTCCACTATAACCAAGTATAGGGTTTAGGGCTCAGGGTTTGGATATGTTGGATTATTATAAATCTGGCCTGGAAACCAAAAACAAAGTCGTCAATACGGAAGACGGAAGTATGGCAAAGGATGTTCGCGTTTCTGTACGGCTCGGAGGCATTCCGGTTGTCACCATCACAATCGCCACCGTCTGCAGCGTGATCATCAGCATGATGCTCTTCCTTGCTACAACCACAAGAAGCGTTTTCTTCATCATAAAAGCATAGGCATCACCAACATCGGCGCCGCCAGCTTCACTGCTCTTGCTAGGTGTCACGTCTTGTTTGGGCCTCAACACGCACGTGCCAGCCAGCTCGAAATCCAAAGCCACCACGCCATGAATGCAGACTAGGTGCTCCATCGTGATGCAGAAGGCGCCTGCCACCCAAGGGATGCACTCGAACTCTTCACCCGCGCCAACATGGTTGCAACACCGCGCAGGGAGCTAAGTAGAGCTGGAGCTCTTCCGGATTCCAGTCGGCTTACAGCCCCGTCGTTCAGGCAACCAAACGAAACAAAGGGAAACGCGGTTGAGAACAATCCATTCGAGCAAAAACTCTGTGGAATGCCTTATCGAACAAAACTCCGCGACTTCGCTTATGTCCGGGAGCTATTGCAGCCCTTTTTTGGTTGAGAGATAGACTCCGAATCTTTTTCCCCAAACTCCCGAACCACATTTCGAATCCTCTGCCCTGTCTCGGCCTATGACAGCAAAAACCTCGCCGAGGCCGTGGTAGGAAAACCTGAAAGACTGGTCGTTTTGAGGTAACACAGAGGCCTCCAGAATTAGAGCTGGGCTTTAGACAGCTTCTATAAAAGGTTCTATAAGGGGCTTTAAAGGGCTTGGTTGAGGGCTTAGGGTCTTTTCGCGGTTGCGCGTAGCGGCTTTAAAAGGAGAACAGGGTCCTGTGGCAGCAGACACAGTCAGAAGGACTGTGTGACATCACAAACTAGGCTGTTGGTTTGGATGCAGAGCACAATTCTAAGTTGCTAGAACGAAACCACACAATGCCCCAAACCCAATCCCGCCCCGGCAGAAAAGAAAGGACACTGCACTTCCAGATAGAGCTGAGGGCTCGTACAGTTACTTCTCCCAGATTTGCATATCCTAAACCACTCAAAGAACACAAAAACCCCAACAGTGAAGTCTTGAGAGCCCAAGGGCGTGTAACAGCTTCCTCGTGTTGGTAGCCGCGCCTTGGTTGGGAAGGGTTCAGGGTTTTATAATATGGTTTAGGGTTCGGGAAGTTGGACAAGGTCGACGATTTAGGTTTCAGGGGAGGCTTCCAACATCGCTCACGCACAGATGAGGCGTAGTGGCCGAACCTAGTATCTTCGGGCCTTATAAGGGGATATACAAACGGCTTCTTGCAATCTACACCCCAAAAACCTGCGAGGCACCGCCAGGAATTAGGGCCATTGCGTTGCTGCGGCTTGAAGTTCACGGAGCAGTGAAGGTATGCTTGAAACCCCAGGCGATCGAAAATCCCTTAAATAAGGCAGGCATATACATCAAATCAAACTAGCGATCCTGTCTATAAGTTACGGTAATTTTCTAATCTTCCCTAACTAAGGAGTATTGGAAGGTCCGTGAACTTCAAGATGTCCTGACTGCAGGTCCTCAAGTCCTAAAACCTACCAGCAAGCGTCACAACTGTCGGAAGCATTAGGGGTAGTTGTCAAAATTATGGTCCCTTTTGGGGTACCCTAAATAATAGGTGCCGTATTATAGTAAGGACCCAAACAGGGGCCATAATTTTGACAACCACCCCCGTCCTACCAACTGAACCCTTCATCAAGTCGTACATCCTAGACTCTCAACCCACGAACCGCGAATCTATGTCTAGGCCCCCTTGACTTTAAGCAACGACGACAAACAAAAAATGCACACATCCCATAGAGTAGGGTCTTTACCTCTTCTTTATTCCGCAGAAACAAGAAATTGCAAGCAGAGGCCTGACAGCGCTGATATCATGGCTGGCAGATGGAGTTATACAGAAGCAGGAAAGGAGCAATGACAGCAATACCGCTGCAGTACGCGTGAACAGTGTAGCAGTGGTACTCTTATACGGCTGAGTGCTCCGTGGCAGCTTGGCCTGAAATAAGGTTATATATCCTGTCAATCATAATTAAGCGGCTAAAAACTCTCATATGAAAGTTGCACACGTATACAAGCACACTAAAAGGTCGAAGACTTGCCTACTCAACCCCGACATGGTCACAAACCACAAGCCAGGTTTCCAAACTTCGTACAAAAATCTCGCGGCACGCTGCAAAACCTATAAAGCCATACGGCTGGCGTTCTTTGGGGTTCAGGTAGGGGATAAACGTAGTCCGGTGTCCGAAAGCTCCATGTAGGCCAGGCCGGACAGAGCACAGGCCAGGCCGGCCAAGATCCAGGAAATGCAGGCTGATGGACCTTGGTTTAGGGTTTAGGGTTTAGGGGCTAATGCAGGCTGATGGACCTTTCATGGACTCGACACTCCAAGGCCCCCTACTTAGGAGTATTCCAGACAAGAAGTCATGACAGGTCCAAAATACGTAGGACTTCTTCGTATGGTTTAAGGGGGATATGCAATCAAGTGATTGCGAGCGTTCAGTTGCCATTGCAAGCATCCCGCGCAGACTATGCTTGTCTCCGCGGCGAAAATATTTGCTTGGAGGGTATCGACCTTTTTGTAACTGCCCTTCGCATGGTGCTGATGAACAAACGGTTCTTATGATGGCCGTGAACGAACATGTGATGCCCACAGTAGTGGCCATATGCCGGCATCATCATCATCATCATCATTGATCATTACCCTCTTCAACACCAACATCATGGTCGCGTTAGTCAACATCATCATCATCATCACCATCATCATGCTGGCCGTCTTCGCAACCACCACCATCATCACCGAGTTCATCAACATCATCGCCACCATCATAGCCGTCGTCATTATCTTCATCTTCATCGTCATCATCATCGTCAAGATCACCGCAATCTTCATCGTGGTCGTCATCGCAATTTTAACAGCCATAAAACATAGTGATAATCCTTCCCATGCTCCTCCCCACCACAGTTACCATCATTGCTATTGCTTGCGCATGTACACGCCCGTGCAACAAGAAACTTGGAAACATGAAGGGTTGTTGAGATACTTGTGCATGCATATCGATTGCATCGCGGCCGGCATCTGCATCTCCGTAATCTCCCGAATGGACACCGACACCAGGAATTTCTCAGGTAGCCATCATCAAAATGAAAATCCACATACTCAACGTTGTCGCCAACACGGCATTAGATTTAACATTGTTCATTAAAGTTGTTTAAGCAGCAAACACGAAAAGCCATTCAGCGGAAACACCGCAGACTCCTGGACATGGCAGGGAAGGTCTTCACTAAACCCTAAACCCTAAACCCTACCAGGCCAATCGGGGTTGAGGGCTATGGGGTTCAGTTTAGAGTTTAGGGTTCCTAAACCCTAAACCCTAAATCAGCATCTCTAACTCGACTTCGGCTCCACAGTGTTTTGGCTCTTCATGGCGTGTGGCGACGTAGGCCCATCCTATGCAATAAAGGCCCGAAACCACCCCCCAAGAGGCTTATGAGTTTAGGGTTTAGGGTTTAGGGTTTATGCCTTCCCTCCTGCGCGCCTGCGACAGGAAGCACCGATCCGCTCAAGACGAAAACCCCGGAGCCGACCTCAAAGCTTCGCGCTGACTTGTTTTCGAAGGGTTTAGGGTTTAGGGTTTAGGGTTCGGGTCTTCTTCATCTCAAGATGGGGCCATGTCAACCATAGCTTCCCTGGTCCGTCCACTTGGGACAGAGGCGACATACTGCAACGACCTACTACTCTTTGAATTGACGGGTGCAGTCGGCACGGCGTTCTTTCTGGTCTGGCATCCATAATTCTGTTCTAGCCAGGCCTACAAGACCAAACAGGCAGCTGTCCAAAGACAGTTCAACCTTCTACGCCTAAAGCACCTAAATCCCCAGCGTTGTGACGTTGTGCCCCAACCCCAAACTCCAGACCCCCCCTAACCCCCAACAGTACCTGAGCCGTAACGCCCGTACCTCTAAAATCTCAAATTGGAGAACCTAAACGCTTGAACCCGCCAATTTCAAAACAGTAAACCCCTAAATCTTACACTAAGCCCTAAAGGCCTGAGAAACCCCAAACCCCCAAGCCTAAACCCTACGAAGAAACACACTTCAAAGAGCATCTCCCTCTCTTCCACACACATACAAAACACACATATTGAAAATACACAAACATACAAATCTCTCTATATATACTATATATATATATACATGTATGTATATATATATATACATATTTACATACTGACAGAAAGCGATGCAGAGAGAGAGAGAGAGAGAAATAAAGGCATAAAGAAAGAAAGAAACAAAGAAAGACTGCAAAAGGCTTCTCGGTACCGGGGAGGCCACAGTGCTACCGATGCCGATGCACAGGAGGTCGAAGAGGCCCAGCCTCGGGAAGCTTGGGGTCTTGAGTTTTGGGTTTATGGCAGGTAGAAACGATGTAATGACCTCATAATGCCTTTCAAGGATTTGTTCTGGCAATTTAGGGCTTGAGTCTCTAGAAGGGGTCAGTACCCAGGGCTTCTTCCTCCGGGGTCCTTTTCTTATGAGGATCTTTCTGTTCGGGGTGGGTCGAATTAGGGGTTCGTGAACTGTTGCGCTCTTGGGCTTGGGTGCTGTCGCTTGCGGGCAGGGGTCTTTCATCCAACAATCTCGGCAACACCAATACTCCTAAGGAGCCCCATGTGCACTCACCACCTCTCTAAGTAAACCCTACTTCACATGGCATCCTCTGACGGGCTTCCGCCCAGAAGCCTCCCCCCACGACGATGCAAATACCCACATCAGCAGCGATGATATTACTAGTTTGCCTGCTTGCTATTGGGAAAGGTGCTGCTGCAGCTCCGCCCCATAGTTTGAAAGTGAGCGAAACTAAGCTCGTGAAACCTGATGCCTTCAGGAAATCTTAGCCACTTAGCTCTGAAACACGCAAAGCCCGAGAGACTGTAAAGCCATGGTGCCAACCCTAAGACCCCAAATCCCAAACCTCTCTGATAGAAACTCGAAAGCTCGGGCTCACCTCGTCTCTGTCTCGGGCTCCTCATCGATCTCTGCTTGAATGGTGGCCTCAGATACGGGGATGTCAGGAAACTCAATAGTGGTGTACTTGTAAACAATGATCTGGCGAGTCCTTCTAGATGGCAGTCCAATTTTCGATTCGCGATGCTGGTCAGCATGTCAAAGCGGTATGCATCCTCTCGCGCAGACGAAAACCCTGGTAATGCGACTACAAACGAATGTTACTATAGTCGCCAAAAAAGTTTTACTATCGTGATGGTGACTTAGAGTGAACTTCCACAAGTCATTGATAATCTGATTTGAGATAACTAATATTGATTTCGATGGCTACTGTCTGAATCCAGCCAGAAGGCTTTTGTTTTCCGAGAGGAGAAAGTGTAAAGCACCTGCTTGCGGTGAGCAAGCGCGATGCTCGAGTCGCTCTCAGATCCTGTCGGCGGGGGCAGAAGTCCAGCAGCGATATCTATGAGTATACATTGTACATTGGTATGTATGTACCTATGAATGTAAGTATGTATGCATGCGTTCATGCATATGCGTAGCCATGTATGTATGCATGCAGCCATGCATGTATGTATGTATGTAGGGAGGAGGTAGGCAAGTGGGTAGGTGGTTCGGTGGGTAGGTAGGTGGGTAGGTAGGTAGGTAGGTAGGTAGGTAGGTAGGTAGGCAGGTAGGTAGGTAGGTAGGTAGGCAGGCAGGCCGGTAGGTCGGTAGGTAGGTGTGCATCCATGTGCGTATGGATACCAGTGCATGCACATATGGAACATTATGGAACAGTTGCATCTCAGTATCTATAGAAATCTACGTGCATATCTACCTATCTACCTATCTATCTATCCATCTATACATAGACTCAGACAGGCAGAAATGTCTATTTCGGAACAACATCAATGTTTTTAGTTTGGCCTCGGGAGCGTTACACATGCCCTGTAGCAAGATGTGACTGAGGAGCCCGGTGGGTTGCTTTTCAAGGCTTTAGAAAACCTGTAAGGCCAGCGCAACACGACCAACACCACGAGGAAGGCAACCGCTAGATATGTCGTCAGACATCATATGCCCGCCCACTCACCGACGACTTCGAAATACATCGCGCGGTTCTTGTCATATTTATTGAGGTAAGGAGGAAGTGTGCTGTTAGGAGGAGGAAGAAGAAGTGAACACTCTTCCGGCGATGGAGCAGTCGCATAAGTGACAGAGACATCAGAATCACAACCCACAGACTATAAACTATGAAACCCTGATACAGATCGCATATGAAATCCTATAGAACCGAAAGGATAAGCCCTCCTAAGCTAAACCCTAAACCCTAAACCCTTAACCTTAAACCCCAAACCCTAAACCTCAAAGGAGCGGCCTTCGGAGTAGTCTTCATCAGACTCCGACATGGCCCACTGGTCGCTAGGTCGCAGGCCCTCGAAAGTTGTCGATCGAGTCCTCAACCCTCCTCTGGAGGGTTTCGACTCTCGCACTCGCGGAAGGGTTTAGGACCCTCAACCCTATACACTTTGGCTTCGAAATCCTAGAGACTTCCTTGTGCTGTCACCGATTGTCTTGCTGCCCTTCTGCCTCGAATCTGCTGTTCTGCTATGTCTGCTGATAAGAAGAGCTCGCCAAATGCAACGATTTGTTGAGAAAGCCATCGATTGCTATTATTGCTTAGAGACTTGCACTGCTACTGATACTGCTGTTGCTCTTATTGCCAGCATTATTTTTTATTGCTACTACTGTACTGCTACCGGCTACTACACCTCTCAAATGCTTCCTGGCAAAATCCTGAAGCCAAAGAAGGCATCCGCGCAACGAAAAGTCGAACCGGATCGCTCTTTTCGCAACTTTGGTGTAGAGCTTACAAGTAGGGTCTCGGGGTAGCCCAGGGGCCAGATGTCTGCGCAAATCCTGTCTTGTCTCAAGAACGTGACCGGCGATGCTCAGTGATTGGGTAGAGCATGTGCCTTTTCTTTTTTCCTTCGGTCGGCGAAAGCCGCGGATTTTCGCGGCAAATACGCGATAAAATCATGCTATCTGAGAGTGCGGTAAAGGAAGTTAAGGACCAAACCTTACAATATAAACCTCATCATGATGTGCGTTGTAACCGCGTCCGTTTAGAAACAAGGTTTTGCACCCTTGTTGGTCAACTTCCAAGCTTCAAGACGAACTCGGCTAGCTGGCTGACCTGATAATCCCTTACTAGGAGACTACACGGCATCTTATACTATTAAGGCGGCACATAACCAGCCGTTTTTTTTAAATCAACCTGGGGTCCGGATTGCGCTTGAGGCTGCTAGTAATGTTAGTAGCATCCGCCGCGACTGCACCTCGGAACTCGAGCAACCCGCAAGAAACACCAGCAGACCTCAAGTAACTACACTCTCGAGGTCGACCCTCATCCTCATATCCTCAAGAAAATTCTGGGGCCTTTGCAGATCCATGTTTGTTCAGGGGGGGCGTCCCCTGAAGCTCGAGTTTGAAACAACCTTCGGCCGCACTCTCCACTTCCAATCGGAAAGCCTTAGAAAAGAAGTCGGGCTTTTAGTATTCAGGGATACACTCGTCATTGCTCTTGCTATGGGTATTGTGGCTGGCTATCTGTGACTACTATGAGTCAACGGCTATGATAATTATTGTGGCTATGATTACCATTAGGCCTGTTTTGCTTATGACTATCATCAGTATGGTTCCATGTGAGCGTATATCTGTATATACACAGCACAGCACTGGGCCCGGACACTGCAGGACCTCTCTTCGTAAGCCCTGAGCTATGTCGTCATTTCCGACGGCTCGGTTTCGTGAAACCCTGGCCTGGTTGTGATCGATCTCCTTTGTAGGGTTTAGGGCTTAGGGTCTAGGGTTTAGGCACAGCGCGAAAAGAGATTAGTCGATAGTTGAGGGGCTGAGTTTCGGGGTTTTGGGGCTTGAACTTTGGGGCCTTTGCGTTGAGGGCTCCAAGGGTTTAGGGTCTGTTGGCATCTCACAATCCGATGTGTGAAGATGTCGAAGCTTCAGGGCAGGAGCGGTTCCCAAAGCCCGAACCTGTCTTACCTCTTGTGTAATCTTGTGCCTGAGTGGTTACACATATTACCTATGTATCTACATTGCAGATTCTCTCTCTCTCTCTATATATATATATATATCTACAAGAGCGTCTGTCAACACTTATTGTTTCAGGCCTGGTCATGGATGATTTGTTGGGGGTCCTATCGCTGTACAAAGATCTGGAGAACTTTTTCTGGGAGGTATCGCTTTACTCCGGTCAGGTTCATAATCGTAATAGTACGAGTAGTAAAGCAAATTGGAAAAGTAGCCATAGTTATGCTGGTCCTAGTAATTTTGGTGATCTCACCACAATGGTAGTCAGACCAACAATAACAATGATGATTCTATCAGGTGGGGCAGTGGCTCATGCAAGGTCTGGTGGGTATCGATTAAGGTATCGATTAGGGCATCGATTGCCTAGCCACATATCCCGTGAAGAATTTAGGCACAAATGCCGCGGCTGCAGTTAAATGCCACAACAGACGATCTTCGTTGGTCGTATCGCCTTTTATTTTTATTTTATTATATATATATATATA